GCTCTTCGCTACTTTCTTGCTCGAGAGCTTCAGCAGCGCGGTCAGCTTCGGCTTGTGTACGTGGACTCGAAGGCCAACACTGCTGATATCTTCACCAAGGCGCTCCCGCCTAGTGATCATCAGCGGCACTGTACTTCTTTAGGCCTTGTGTCCACGTTTCCTCACTTGCTCACTGCTTGACATTCTTTGTACTGTACTTTATATATATCTTGTTGCTTGCTTGCTAGGTTTTGATCATTGTGTTGCTTGTCTTGTACTATATCTAGCACTGCATGTGAACTGGCCTTGTGGCCTTTACTTGTGCTCGGAGTGTGGTGACGTTGTGATCCACCCTGGGCTTTGCTTTGCTTTGCTGGACTGGTCTTGTGACCCTTTGTTCTCCCCCACTTTGCCTATGGGGGTGTGTTAAACTGTATTATGCTTGTAGGCTGTAGTGGGGTAGCCAATATGGGGTACAACCCCAACTAGGGTTTCATATTTGTACCCAAACTTCTGTTAGTTCATCATTCTTGCCTAGTGATTCTGACAATTGGATGCCGTGCTCAACTGGGAGCACCGTGCATCGCATGCCCGCATGACGGCTGAGGCGGACAGCATTCCGTTGGGTGTATTCATTCCTACGCGGCTGGATGCTTTGTTCTCGTCTGATCCGCCCACACTTCGTCAGATTTGTGTGCACGTCGTGTGATGACATTATACTTAATGTTGCTCATATTTTTGTTCTACAATTTGAGGTGAAATGGAATTCAGATGTGTACTCTTATTTTGTATTTTGTGTTATCACGCATTTGTATGTTTATCATCAACGTTCATATTGATACTGTAATAACGTATTGTACACAATGTTTTGGTATTTATTACTTACAGGTTTCATCCTTCATTGTGGAGCTGACGGTCTCCAAGATGGAGCCTGGTTTCTTGCTGCGTGCTCTGTGTTCGGTTCGTGATGAGAGGGGACGCTTCTGTTTGACGGCGTTAGGCTCATCTGCGGACAAAATTCGCATGTTTGTGACAGAGCAGCAAAAGGTGACCAGGACTTTGTTCACTGAGCTCAGGTGACCAGGTGACCAGGTGACCCGTGGTCTTGTGGATCACTGAGCTCTACGTCGAGCATCCCCAGATCTACACGACCAAGAGGTATAGTACAAGCGGTCTTACAGTGTGCTTATTGATTAGTCAAGAGTTTGTACTTGAATATGGATGTTGATGATACACGTCAACGTACATGATGTATGTAGTCTCAACTATCTTTCAAAAAAAAAAAAATTTGTATCCTTTCCTACCAGGTCAAAGATCATCAAGATCACTGATGATGCTGTTGTTGCTCGCGTCACGCGGAGTCTGTTTCCTGTTCTCACCGCACCAACCGACGTTGACAGCATCATTTCGTAAGTATTGCAAGTTATTTATAACTATCAAGTTTGCCCATGTTAGTCCACTGTAAAGATAATGGCAATTCCGATGAACAAATGATGTGTATATACGCTTGTTCACTTTTTATTTTCCCCACTCCCTTCCAGTTTGGGAGCCATGGAGGAGAATGTGATCTCTTTGGGCCAAGAGATCACATGTGCACTCCGCGTGGAGATACGCAGCACGGACGTAACTACAGAGTGGGTCTATTTAGAAAGCTTGCTTTCTTGTTGTAGCAATGGCATCGTCTCATTTCAAATGGAATGGCATCGTCTCATTTCAAATGACAATGGCATCCTCTCATTTCAAATGGTATAGTACAAACGGATCCAAGCTAGCATATGATAGTTCTAGTAGCACAATTAGCTGTCATTCACTATTCTAAGGGGTGGGTGGGCGGGAAACTTGACTAAACCGTTTGAAAAATGAGAGACGTGGGTGGAGGGAAATGACCTCCAGCCCACGTTTTGTACTCCAAAACGGGCGTTTATCGCGGTTCGCCGATGACCATTGCTACATTACAAGCCGCTTCGCTTTCAAAATACACGATTTTGAAAAGCGTTACAGCTTTTAAAAATATTCATATTTAGAAAGCTTGCTTTCTTGTTGTAGCAATGGCATCGTCTCATTTCAAATGGGTCTTCTGAGACATGTGTCGTGTAGGTCGTCGTTGGTGCGCCAGTGACGTGGCATGTTGCGCAGGGGAGAGGGATCGTGCTGGAAATTGGACGTGCCTCAATGCTCCCACCAGTTGGTCTGCAGCAGGCGTGATGTACGTCTCCTTCGCGGTGTCGCTTTTCCATCGTCCTAATCGCTTCAGGATTCGGTCGGATATTCCGGCGTTGGCTGCGACAGTCGCTGCACCTTTTCGGAAGGAGTGGGTTCCGAGGTCCTCGAAACTGAGACCGATTTTATGAAATGCCTCTTTCCACCAGTTGCGAATTGTGTTGTAGGATGGCGGCTTGGTGATCCTGCCTTCCCCGCCCTCTGTTCTAAAGACGTGGATGAGCGGACCTTGTTGCGATTGGTCATATTTAGCCAAGTGTATGAATTGTTTGGTGCAGCGAACGGGGCAGAAAGGGCCCGGGCTTGCGGCGACCGGGACCCATATGCCTTCTCCTGCCTGGTCCGTCTTGGAACGGGGGATTAGTAGCCACATGACTTCTGACTCGAATTGAATCTCATGCCAGTTGATAACCGCGAGGTTGGAGTAGCGCAGGAACCCGACGTATATTAAGATCAGTATTAGACCCTTCTGGAATTCGCGGGGGTTGTCTGATTGTAGAAATTCTGATGCCATCACATGTGCTTGATGTAGTGACACAGGTTCTTTGGCCCAGGTGGGATGCAGGCATTGCTTCTTCGCGAACTCCCTGACTTGTAAGGTGAATGGGCCAGTGGATGGGCATGATGCACCGATCGACCGATGCGCGAAGCTGACTGCCGAGCATGTCAACTATATTGCGGACACCGTAGCCTTCAGCTGAATGGCGTAGACTAGGTACAGGGCGAGAGTCATATCGGTGCATGGGAGGGACTTGAGCTTGTGTTGCTGGCAAAAGGATCGGAACTTGACCCAGTAGGGCTCGTATGTGCGGATTGTGGAGTCGGCCCGCGTTTGAGTGGTGATCTCTAGTAACCGATGTTTGAGTTTTTCCAGCAATCCTGCATCAAGTACGAGCGTGGTTAGCTGGCGAAGGACACGCGTAGTGCAATCATGGGACTGCATGGTAGACCGTCGCCAGAAAAGGCACTGGAGTGAGTGCCTGCTGTCAAGCACTGGCTGCCGTGCGTGAGGGGAATATGGGTATGAATGTAGGGGGCCCATTGAGGGGGGGCGGGTTGCAGTAGGGGCCACCAGCTTGCACTAGCCCAGTGGGGTGCGATGAGAGTGAAGGTGGTGTGAGTCCGTTTCGCATGGTGGAGTACTGCTGGGATTAGGTGGGGTGGTGGGAATGCATCCCCGCTCGGATGTCCAAGGGATGGAGAACGCATCGACTGCTGCTGCATCTGGGTGCGGTGTTTTGGAGCAAAAACGGTTAAGCTTGGTATTGCTCCCATTTGCAAATAGATCGATTGAATGCGGGCCCAAACGACGCTCTATGAGGAGGAACCAAGGTGTCTTCAGGGAGTAGTCATCCAGATCGAGCGACTTGGAAAGTTCATCCGCTCGTGTGTTAAGCTCGCGCGGGATCCATTCAACCATGAACCGAATCCGAAAGGTCATGCATGTCTGAATGATCGACTTGCATGTCGTGGTGAGGTTGACGTGCCTTGAACCACCTCTTCTGAGGATGAAGAAAACGTCTTGGTTATCGGTCCTTGTGAGGACGTGCTGGTCACGGATTCGTTCTGCAAACGTTTGGAGCGCCCATACCATCAATCTCTCATTGCGTGCTGCAGCCTTCAGCAGGTGCTCTGACATTGCCGCACTAGCCTCGAGACGCCGTCCCGGGAACTTGTCCAGCGTCGCTCCCCAGCTGTGTGCGCTGGCATCCACGTGGATCACGGCATCATAGCTGTTGGGGACGTGGAACGGGGCGCCATTAAATTTGTCGAATTCGTGGCGCCAAAACTCCAGCTCTTCGATAGCCGTAGGGTCCAGCAGCACCTTGCTGTTCCATGATGATGCCTGCTGAACTGCGTGCAGCAGGCCTTGACTAAATGCTCGCGTCGTCGCCCCCAGGGCCAGTGTCATGGATGCTAGCATGTCGGTGACTCTTGCAATGTGACGTACTGGGACCTTGCGTCTTGCCTTTCCTGCCCTTTGTAGATCTTGGATGGTGGAGAGTAGTGAGGCCCGTCGTTAAGCGACGATCGAAAACTAATCACGATCTGTGTCTAACTCGACTCTGAGGAAGCGCAGTTGGGGGTTGGTTTCAGCTGCAACTTTTTCGAGTTGATCACAAGGCCTGCCTTGCTGAGGTCATGTATGATTGATTGACATGTGGCTCGTGCCGCTGCTTCCGTGTCACAAAGGAAAAGGATGTCGTCCACATAAGGGATGACCCGTATACCCATGGCTCGCCAGCGCCGCGCAAGTTGTTTAATCAGTTGTGTGAAAACGAATGGAGCTGTCGCGAGGCCGAAAGGGAGCGAGCGGAATATGCATGTCTTCCCGTCAAATCGAAATCACAGGTACTTCCAGCACGATGGGTGAATATCCACGTGGTGATACCCAGACTTCAGGTCGATGGAGAACATCCAATCGCCCGGGCGAGCGATCTCCGCAACCCGATTGAGCCCCTCGTATTTGAATTTTGGAATGCGCAAGTGTAGGTTCACTTGGCGGAGGTCGAGGATCAGTCGGCATTTCTCTCTTTAGACCACCACGTTTAGTAGGCTAATGCATATATGCTGATTTGCGGGAGCGAGAACCGCTGCGCCGCTTTCCAAGAGCTCGCTAATAGCCCTAACATAGTACAGAAGCGCTGATGATCACCAGACGGAAGCGCCTTGGTGAATATATCAGCAGTGTTGGCCCGAGTGGCCACGTAAGAAACACGAAGCTGACCACGCTACTGCAATTCTCGCGCAAGGAAGTAACGCAGAGCGATGTGCTTCGTTTTGTGCTCCAGTCTGTGCTCCTAACACAAGGCAATAGCGGCCTTGTTGTCGACGTACAGAACTGGAGGAGAACTAGGCCGCTCTCCCAAGTCAGTCAGCATGTAGGTGAGCCAGCGTAACTCCTGTGCAGCCATGGCCGTGGCGTAGATCTCAGCCTCACAATTGGAGCTGAGAACAGAAGACGAGCGGGTAGACTGCCAAGAAACCAAACCGGAACCGAGGCTGAAAGTGTAACCCTGTGACGACCGCTGTGTAGCCAGGTCGTCAACCCAAGACGCGTCCGAGTGTCCAGTGAGGACAACGTCACCCCGTCCTCCAAGCACGAGCCCCATGCCCGATGTACTGCACAAGTAGCGTAACACCCTCTTAGCAGCCTCCCAGTGCTCTCGCCGGTGTCTCCCTGGCGCCACGTAGCGAGCCAGGATGCTAAGAGGGTACGCAAGGTCAGGTCGAGTGCAGGTCATCAAGTACATGAGGCAGCCCACAAGCTCAGGATATGGGCCAGTCGGCTCTACGGACTCGTCCGAAGGCAGAGCTGAGAGCGAGTGACCCGTAGCCATAGGAGTGGACTGTGGCGAGGACCAAGTGAAGCCGAAGCGCTGAAGGACATGCTGCACCATGTGTGACTGAGTCAGGGTGATGGTGCGGCGTGCTCTGTCCCGGATGATCTGCAAGCCAAGGGAGCTGCGCAGCTCACCCACGTCTGTGCACGTGTGTCTCTTCTGCAGCTCCGACTTCACAAGGGCGAGTGCCTCAGTGTCAGCAGTGGCAAAGACCAAGTCGTCGACGTACACGAGGATGTAGAACGGCGGCAGCGAAGTGTCGGTGCGCAGAAACAGTGACGGGTCAGCTGTCGAAGGAGCAAACCCAAGAGCCGCAAGTGTCGTCCTCAGTGTGTCGTGCCACTCACGCGGCGCCTGGCGGAGACCGTAGACTGGCCGCCGAAGGCTCCACTGGGTACCAGGAGGGAACGACCCAGTGAAGCCAGGTGGGCGGCGCAGCCAGATCTCCTCGTGCAAGCTGCCCTGCAAGAACGCTGTGCTGAAGTCAAGAGAGTGAAGCTCGTAGTCACGCTGAGCGGCAACGTGCAGTAGTACCCGAAGAGTGGTCATCTTCGGGGTGGGGGAGAAGGTCTGGAAGAAGTCAACTCCCTCTCGCTGACTGAAGCCTCGAGCAACGTAACGAGCCTTGAAGACAGGCGGAGAACCCGGCGGCTGCTTCACCCTGAAAATCCACATGCCATCGACGATGTTCGCCCCAGGAGGGGGAACCTCGTCAACGTAAGTGCCTGTGGACTTCGAGGATGCCATCTCTGCGTCCATGGCTGCCTGCCACTGAGAGGAGTAGGGACCCGCAATCGCCTCAGCGTAAGAGCGCGGGGTAGGGATGTCAAGAGCATCCGGGTCTCCCTCAGGGGCAAGCAGCATGGCCACGAGATGAGGTGCAGCGGCTGCAAGACACTCAAAGTCCTCCTGCGTGTCCTCAAGGACGTCCGTGCCAAGAGCACACTCACCCTCGACGGACGGAGGACAGACAGACTCAGACTTAGCAACAAGACTAGCAGCGTAGTCTAGACAACAGGCAGCAGCAAAGTCAACAAGCTCAGAGACTAAGGCAGACGCAGCAGCAGACTCAAACGACGGGTCAGTGACAACAGTGGCGAGCAGACGAGTGACGGTAGGGTGAGCAGCACGAACCAGGTCAGACTCAGGGTCCGGAACGTCAGGCAGAGAAGACGCAGGAGGAGACGGCAGGGGAACACGCTGTGGAACAGAGGAAGGACGAAGTGCCATAGCGTGCGTGCTAGGGACAGGAGGCGAACGCTCACGAGGAACACGACGACGAGTGTGACGCGCGCGAACAGGCGAGGCAGGACGAGACGCAGGCTCACAACGCTTTGTAAGCGAGTCGGTCTGCTCAGTGTAAGGAGAAGGAGCAGGCAGTGGTGAGCCTGGCTGTAACGGGAGGCCAGTAGAAGACGGGAGGCTAAGAACCTGGCGAAGCACGGAGTCAGGCGGTGGCAGAGACGACGGTGACGGCGGAGCGAAGAACAGACGCGGTTGTGCAGTGTCACCCGCACCAGTAGCGCCAGCGCTTCCAACAGCTCCAGATTTGCCAGCTCCAGCGCCTCCAGCAGCTCCAGAACCGCCAGCTTCAGCGCCTCCAGCAGCTCCATAACCGCCAGCTCCAGCACCTCCAGCCGCTCCAGAACCTCCAGCTCCATCGCCTCCAGCAGCTCCAGAATCTCCAGCTCCAGCACCTCTAGCAGCTCCAAAACTTCCCGCTCCAGCGCCTCCAGCTGCGCAAGAACCTCCAGCTCCAGGGTCTCCCGCCTCAGTACCTCCAGTCGCAGCACCCCCAGAACCAGCACCTCCAGCTCCAGGCCCTCGAACTCCAGTACCTCCAGCAGCAGCACCCCCAGAACCGGCACCTCCAGCTCCAGGGTCTCCAGCCTCAGTACCTCCAGCAGCAGCACCTCCAGAACCGGCACCTCCAGCTCCAGTACCTCCAGTAGCAGCACCCCCAGAACCGGCACCGCCATCACCAGGGTCTCCAACTCCAGAGTCGACAGCACCAGCTCCAGGGCCTCCAGCCCCAGTACCTCCAGCAGCAGCACCCCCAGAACCGGTACCTCCAGCGCCAGAGTCTACAGCACCAGTACCTCCAGCAGCGCGACTCCGACGGCGGTAGCGCTGAGCGTACCACTCGCATAGCTGCTGTCGCCAGAGAGGTGGCCGCTACGACGCGGCACCAGGAGGACCGCCAGGAGACTCAGCACCCCCAGAACTAGCACCTCCAGCTCCAGCAGTACCGCCAGTTCTGGCAGCTCCAGTACCCCAGGTACGAGCACGTCCACAACCAGAAACACCAGTACTCCCAACATCTCCACGACCACTAGCTCCAGCAGCTCCAGCAGCAGAAAGAGGGCGACCCGGAGGAACGCCAGCAGACTCAGCACCCTCGGACCCGGTACCCTCTAGCTCAGCACCCCCAGGCTCCGCACTCGCAGGCTCAGCACCCCCAGGCTCCGCACCCCCCAGCACCTCACCCATAGGCTCAACACCCCAAGACGCAGCACCCCGAGCAACACCGCCCCCAGCAGCACCAGAGTCAACCGGAACCAGCTGTAGAGGCGGCGAAGACGGTACCCGGAGGGGTCTCCAAGCGTGGTGCACGGCGGTAGGCCGCCAGGTCGTCAGCAGCAACGTCACCCCCCTCAGCTGGGCCAGAGGTGTCAGAAGTGACCTCCAAAGGCTCAGCCAAGGGGAGTGGGTCTACCTGAGACACACCTGAAGGAGCAGGACCCTGAGGGGGGGGGGGGTTCTACCAGAGGGGGACCTGGAGCGAGGAAAAGCGGCGGGGGAGGGAGAGGGGTAGTGCAGTCGGGGAAGAGACGGTAGAAAGGAACCGACTCGTCAAAGGTGACGTCCTGAGAGGGGAAGACACGGCGCGAGGTGGGGTGGTAAAACTGCCAGCCAGGCGCGTCAGGGACAAAGCCAAGGAAGACACATGGAATGGTGTGGGAGGAGAGCTTGTCCGCGGACGTATCGCGGACAAGGGCACGAGCACCCCACACCCGGAAACGCGACGCATCGCCAACCTCTCCCGTCCAACGCAGTGTGGGCGAGGTGTCCGGCAAGGAGACATGGGGCCAGAGGTTGAGCTGATGCGCGGCGTACCGGACCGCAAACGGCCACAGAAAATGGGGAGCCGCCGCATGGATCAAGGAGGTACGAGCGATCTCCATGACCAAGCCAATGCGGCGCTCAGCAACCCCATTTTGCTGCGGTGAGCCCGGAAGCGTGAACGGCTGGAGGATGCCCTCCCCCTTACAGAAGGCTCGCAGGAGGTCGGAGGAGAACTCACCACCTCTGTCAGAGTGCAGACGCAGGACAGGCAGGTCCGACTGGAACTTGCGGCGGAGCTGGAGACGAACTGCTCGGATCCAAGGGATCAGAATAGCAGGGACCTCACCCTTGGTGCGCAAAGGGAAGACCGTGGTGTAATGCGAGTAGTCGTCGACAACCAGCAGAAAGTACCGCTCGCCGCCCTGTCCACGAACGCGGGCTGGGCCCCACACGTCCAGGTGGAGGGTCTGCAGGGGAGCCTCTGTCGGGGGAAACGAGGAGGAGTGAGGAGCGGCGCGCTGCCGCCCCTCAACGCAAGGAAGGCAGGGCGGCGCAGGCGAGGCAGGGAGGGGAGGGAGAGACCTGGGAAGACCAGACACTAGGAGGCGACGGTGCATGCCACGGAGACGTGGCAAGGAGGGGTGACCCAGGCGGTGGTGCCAGAGAAGAGTCTGGTGCGACAGGGAGCGACACTCACAAGGGGAGGCTACCAAACCTGACGCAGACACCTGACCAACAGCAGCGACCTGAGGAGACACAGTCGTCAGTGTGTAAAGACTCGACCCTGGCCGACGAGTGAACGTGGCCAGGTGACGGCCAGTCCTGGAGCACGTACAGATCGCCACACGCTGTCCTCCAGGGGTAAAGGTGTCAACCCAATGATCCTGAAGGACGGCGTTGCTCACCAAGTTCGTTGAGAACGAGGGGAGGTGGAGACCTGACAGTGAGCCAGACGGGACCGCCGGGCACGGAAGCACAGTGGTGGAACGTGCAAGAACTGGGCCCCCGGAGGGGTCAGCCAGAGAGACTGCAACAGGTGCAGGGAGTGGTGTGAGTGCGGTACTGTCACTGAAGAAACAGCAGGAAGCACCTGAGTCAAGCGTGAAGGTGTGCAAGGCCTCAGCAGGCGCAGTACCTGAGAGAGCAGACTCGCTCGCACCTAAGGCATCAGCCTCTATACCTGAATGAGCAAACTCGCTCGCACCTGAGGTAGTAGTCTCTATACCTGGGTCAGGCGGCACACACAAGTAACAGTCACCATCAGCACTATGTTCCAATGCATAGATGACAGAAATAATAGCATCAAAGTTAAGAGCAAAAACGTCTACACCAGCCTTCCACATTTCATGCCAGCTGGGGCGCTCATGCTCCTTGCCCATTTCCTCACGCCAGGCGTCGTCAAGGCGGGAGAAGCAGTGGTGCTGGGTGTGGAACTTGTTGCACGTCTGGACCTGTGCGAATGACATAAGGGCAGCGACCACCACCCCCTCCGCCGCCACCGCCTCCACCTCTGCTACCGACGCTACCACTCCCGCCAGCACTCCTGCCACCAGTCACTCCACCACTTCCTCCTCCTCCACCACCTCCACCACCACCCCCCCCCAAGTGCCACCGCCGCTACCCTTGGACCCCTTGCCCTTGCCGTTGCGGCGCCTCCCACTAGGAGCAGAAGCAGCACCAGCAGACTCAGCACCAAGGAAGTCGACAGCAGCAGCAGTAGCGAAGGAGGGGGCGAGGGGAGAGGGAGAGCACCCCTCAAAGATAGGAGTGCGAGGAGCGCCACGAGCAGCAACTACAGCGACAATCCTCTTCTCTGCTGCAAGGAGGCGCTCCTCTAGGAGGTTGACGGTGAGCTCGGTGGGACAGCGAGCGAGAAAGTGGTCCCTAACTGAGCTGAGAGAGTCAGGGAGACGGGTGACTATGAAGTGGAGGGTCCAGTACATCGGAGGCGGGTTCTTAGCTGCGAACTCTTTGGGGAGGGCGGCGCGAAGGCGAGTGTCACTAGTGCGGAGGTGGGTAATGAGATCAGCAACTATGTCAAAGGTGGACAGCTCAGGAAACAGGTAGGGCAGCATAAGGCGGCTAAGCGCAGCAGTGGCAGGGGAGGTGTAGCGAGCAACTACAGCGTCGTACAAGGCCTTAGCGGTTTTGTGTTCGCCAAAATGCGTGAGCGCGTTCGGCTAACGGCAGGTGGTTGCGAACGGCTAGGCGAGCAGCAGCGTCACGAGTCTGCCACTGGGAACGGGCAATAAGCTTAGTTGTGGCAGCAGGAGCGACTGAGGCACCAGACGTGTGGGCGAAAAGTGAAACATTGTCCTTGCTATCGCTCATTAGGAACAGCTGCAGGTCATCTAGCCAGGCTTCGAACTGAATCGGGCAGCCCTCAGTGTCGAACGACAAGACGCGGAGGGTGGCCGTAGCTGCTGGCGCGGGACTGGCAGGGCAGAGCGATAGCAGGCAAGCAGCATTAGCAGGGGCGGCGCACTAGGCTGAGGCAGGCGGCCGCAGGAGGTAGCAAGGGAGGCGGCACGCAGGGCTGCAGGGCGGGTCCCGCTCAAGGAGGTGCAGGGCAGCGGGACGGGCAGCGCAAGGGCGCAGCAAGCAGCCGCGGCAGCAGGTCGAGCGGCGCACGGGGCTGCGGGGCGGCGTAACGGGCAGCGCGAGGGCGCAGCAGGCAGCCGCGGCAGCAGGGCGAGGGGCGCATGGGGCTGCGGGGTGGCGCAACGGGCGGAGCGCGGGCGCAGCAGGCCGCCGCGACAGCAGGGTGAGCGGCTCGCAGGCGTAGCAGGCAGCCGCGGCAGCAGGGCGGGCGGCGCTTGGGGCTACGGGGCGACGTAACGGGCGGCGCGCGGGCGCAGCAGGCAGCCGTGGCACCTGGGCGGGCGGCGCGTGGGCGCAGCAGGCAGCCGCGACAGCAGGGCTGGCGGCGTAGCAGGCAGCGCGGCAGCGCGCAGGTTGCTAGCGGGCGTCGTACGTGCTGGCAGAAGCCGCGCGCGGGCTGCGCATGCAGCTGGCGGGTCGCACGGGCTGCTAGCGGGCTGCGCGCGGGCCAGCAGAGGCGATGCGCGGGTCGTGCGGGCAGCTATCGGGCAACGCGCTGGCCAGCAGAGGCGACGCGTGGGTCGCGCGAGCTGCTAGCGGCGTAGCGCAGGGAAAAGCAGGGCGCGCGCGGGGCTGCGCGACGCAGGGCAGGGCAGGCAGGGCGCGGGGTAACGCGGTAACCGGCGGAAGCAGTTGGTGGGCCCTGAAAAACGGTCCTAAAATGGTCCTAAGGACCTATTTGCTCTTATTACCATGTCTAGAGTAATAGCAAGGAATGGTGTTGAGTATCGAGAGAGTTGGGTACAAGGATGAGAACCCTAAGGGGTTGTACCCTACATTGGCTACCCCACTACAGCTTACACCTAATTATAATTCATATATAGTTTGACAATTACGTGCTATCCTCGTTCTGCGTGTTGTGTTTCACTAATGTTAACGTGGCGTGTTGTTTGTGTTTCGAGGCGTGGTGCTAATATAAATCGTGTATGCAATTTGGGGTTGTCATCGCCGTTAGGGCAGCGTGTCTTCGCTGTTTCAACGGCCCCATCAATCTCATTTGCTGCATTGATTCATATTAGCATCCACTTCAATATGTTCAAAGCTACCCGTATTTGTCGTACACGTGCTGTGCCGTGCATAACCATTTGTGCCATTTGTAGTTTCCGCCTTCATCGTACATGTCGATGCCAGAATTTGTTGTCCGATCATACCATCCGTCGTATTAATCGACGATGATGTCATGGTCGGATGCTTTCATGGTTTTGACATGGTACGTACATATTTGCTTTCACGTTTTGGCATATCGTTCAGGAGTGATTGTTTATCCACTTTTTGAGGCATCTCTTAAAAAAAGTGATTCAAAGAGCGCATAAAACCCATTTATGAAATGATATCCCCAGAATGTGAAACCAAATATATAGGGTTGCTACGCAACCCAAAAATGTTTTGTGTATATTGCTTCCAAGAGATAATCAAATCGACTGAAGCGCAAGCCTTTTTCCCTATATCGAATGAAGCCCATTCTGTCGGTGATACTTCACGCCTCGAATCTCTAGCTGCCCTAGAGCGATCACCATTCACGGGCACAAGAAACAGTCTTCGATGGTCCAACCGCCATTCGACGCAGTCCACCCCATAATCGCTACTGCTCTTTAAACTGCCTAATTTCCTTTTGCTCGCTGCTGGTATGGCGGCATATGCGTCAACTTCTAGCGCGATTTACTTCGCTAGGCCCCTCGTTCCCCCAAGAGACGTCTCCTCCGAAGCCCAAACCACGAGACTACAATCCCTTGCGCTCATCAAGCCTCCATTCCCCCTCACAAACACCGGCCTTTCCGCCGTTTTCGGCGCGCGCACACGGCATGGCGCACGGGGTCCCCGCGCAAGCTTCACAGAATCCGCAGAGTCGGCGCGCGTGACGGGGCCGAGCGCGGGGGTTGTCGCGCGCACAGAGTGGGAGCTCAACGTCCGGCGGCGAGCGCCGCTGGCGGAGCGATACGGCGTGCGCGTGGAACGAGGCGTTTCCGCCGATAAAATCGAGGTAGACCGCGCGGCAATCCCCACAGGCGGGTGCAGATTTGCGCTTAAGTGGGGGAGAGAGAGCCTTTCGATGCGCCTCAAATTGAGGTTTTAAAGTAGCGCACGGGCCGGCGACTCGAAATGGGCGCTAGTGAGGTGAAGAAGGTTACGGGGTGGAACGGCGTGCCGGGCGACGAGCGCAAAGCCGTGCCGCTCCCATCCATGCCTCCACACTGCCGCTCCCATCCATGCCTCCACACTGCCGCTCCCATCCATGCCTCCACACTGCCGCTCCCATCCATGCCTCCACACTGCCGCTCCCATCCATGCCTCCCCACTGCCGCTCCCATCCATGCCTCCCCACTGCCGCTCCCATCCATGCCTCCCCACTGCCGCTCCCATCCATGCCTCCCCACTGCCGCTCCCATCCATGCCTCCCCACTGCCGCTCCCATCCATGCCTCCCCACTGCCGCTCCCATCCATGCCTCCCCACTGCCGCTCCCATCCATGCCTCCCCACTGCCGCTCCCATCCATGCCTCCCCACTGCCGCTCCCATCCATGCCTCCCCACTGCCGCTCCCATCCATGCCTCCCCACTGCCGCTCCCATCCATGCCTCCCCACTGCCGCTCCCATCCATGCCTCCCCACTGCCGCTCCCATCCATGCCTCCCCACTGCCGCTCCCATCCATGCCTCCCCACTGCCGCTCCCATCCATGCCTCCCCACTGCCGCTCCCATCCATGCCTCCCCACTGCCGCTCCCATCCATGCCTCCCCACTGCCGCTCCCATCCATGCCTCCCCACTGCCGCTCCCATCCATGCCTCCCCACTGCCGCTCCCATCCATGCCTCCCCACTGCCGCTCCCATCCATGCCTCCCCACTGCCGCTCCCATCCATGCCTCCCCACTGCCGCTCCCATCCATGCCTCCCCACTGCCGCTCCCATCCATGCCTCCCCACTGCCGCTCCCATCCATGCCTCCCCACTGCCGCTCCCATCCATGCCTCCCCACTGCCGCTCCCATCCATGCCTCCCCACTGCCGCTCCCATCCATGCCTCCCCACTGCCGCTCCCATCCATGCCTCCCCACTGCCGCTCCCATCCATGCCTCCCCACTGCCGCTCCCATCCATGCCTCCCCACTGCCGCTCCCATCCATGCCTCCCCACTGCCGCTCCCATCCATGCCTCCCCACTGCCGCTCCCATCCATGCCTCCCCACTGCCGCTCCCATCCATGCCTCCCCACTGCCGCTCCCATCCATGCCTCCCCACTGCCGCTCCCATCCATGCCTCCCCACTGCCGCTCCCATCCATGCCTTCCCACTGCCGCTCCCATCCATGCCTCCCCACTGCCGCTCCCATCCATGCCTCCCCACTGCCGCTCCCATCCATGCCTCCCCACTGCCGCTCCCATCCATGCCTCCCCACTGCCGCTCCCATCCATGCCTCCCCACTGCCGCTCCCATCCATGCCTCCCCACTGCCGCTCCCATCCATGCCTCCCCACTGCCGCTCCCATAGGGTACCCACCAACCAATCTACGCCTCCTGCCACACCCACCAGCCTCGATGCCCCCCCCCCCCCATACAGTGGTTGCACGACAACCCTGTAGGGCAGGGTCATAGGGTACCGCGATTCAAAACCCAGCCATGGCTCCCATAATGTGATTCAAAAGTAGAAAACAAAAAGCTATGATTCCTGGACTCACTCACAGTGCTGAGCACTGTTGCCCGTAGTTCTGGGTGCAGGGTTTGGGGTTTAGGTACCTTCACGCTTTTCCTTGCCTGGCACGTTTTTTTTTTTTTTTTTTTGTTTTTTTTTTTTTTCTCCAGGTGTTGCAAGCATGTGGTGTGGTGCGACTATGTTGCATTACAACTCCATTATCCCCACTTTTGTCTTCAAAACGTTGTGTGGGATGCGTGCTGAACCATGCTGAACCATGTGCCATGTGCCCCTCGCACCATGTGCCCCTCGCACCATGTGCCCCTCGCACCATGTGCCCCTCGCACCATGTGCCCCTCGCACCATGTGCCCCTCGCACCATGTGCCCCTCGCACCTTGTGCCCCTCGCACCATGTGCCCCTCGCACCATGTGCCCCTCGCACCATGTGCCCCTCGCACCATGTGCCCCTCGCACCATGTGCCCCTCGCACCATGTGCCCCTCGCACCATGTGCCCCTCGCACCATGTGCCCCTCGCACCATGTGCCCCTCGCACCTTGTGCCCCTCGCACCATGTGCCCCTCGCACCATGTGCCCCTCGCACCATGTGCCCCTCGCACCATGTGCCCCTCGCACCATGTGCCCCTCGCACCATGTGCCCCTCGCACCATGTGCCCCTCGCACCATGTGCCCCTCGCACCATGTGCCCCTCGCACCATGTGCCCCTCGCACCTTGTGCCCCTCGCACCATGTGCCCCTCGCACCATGTGCCCCTCGCACCATGTGCCCCTCGCACCATGTGCCCCTCGCACCTTGTGCCCCTCGCATTCCAGTAGCGCGTCAGTATGGTCGCCATTGACTCAGCGCCTTTGGTCGGTTCTTCCCATTGCCCCTGAACCCTGCCTCCTGTGCGCAGGAGCTTGGGGTGGAGCGGTGGCAGCGGTGGTGGTCGCCCGGGCCGTGTGCGTACCGGTGGGACTGGCTGTTGGAGGAGCAGGTGCTAGTGACACGTGGCACTCTCAGAGTCACTCCTGATGTGAGTCACGCCTGATGTGAGTCACGCCTGATGTGAGTCACTTCTGATGTGAGTCACGCCTGATGTGAGTCACGCCTGATGTGAGTCACACCTGATGTGAGTCACTCCTGATGTGAGTCACGCCTGATGTGAGTCACTCCTGATGTGAGTCACGCCTGATGTGAGTCACTCCTGATGTGAGTCACTCCTGATGTGAGTCACGCCTGATGTGAGTCACGCATGATGTGAGTCACCATGATTGCGACTTGTGATGGATTTGAAGGCACACCACCCCCTGGTGAGTCACGGTGGTGTGAGAGTCACGGTGGTGTGTGAGTCACGGTGGTGTGAGAGTCACGGTGGTGTGAGAGTCACGGTGGTGTGAGAGTCACGGTGGTGTGTGAGTCACGGTGGTGTGTGAGTCACGGTGGTGTGGGAGTCACGGTGGTGTGAGAGTCACGGTGGTGTGAGAGTCATGGTGGTGTGAGAGTCACAGTGGTGTGAGAGTCACGGTGGTGTGTGAGTCACGGTGGTGTGTGAGTCACGGTGGTGTGAGAGTCACGATGGTGTGAGAGTCACGGTGGTGTGAGAGTCACGATGGTATGAGAGTCACGGTGGTGTGAGAGTAACGATGGTGTGTGAGTCACGATGGTGTGTGAGTCACGATGGTGACACATGGCATGCTGAAAACAACCTTGGTCTCCGGTTCTTTTTTTTGCTCGACATGCACTCTCTGTCCATAAGGTTTGGCCCTTGCTTCCAGGCCAGGAGGACAAAGAGAGATTGAAGTTTGAGTCTTCCACATACTTTCATCCTCTACTCTCTCTATTCCCTGCGCTGCCATGTACAATCCACCCAAGCATGGGTGCATGGCAGGAGTGTGAAGAGAGCTTTAGCTTTGTTTTTCTAACGTCTCAAAAAATGCCCTTTTATCACCCACGCATGGGTGCATGGCAGGAGTGTGAGGAGAGCATGCAGTTTGAAGCGGGTGACTTGGTGTGCTTCCCGCGGTGGTTCTTTGCCGAGCTCGAGTTCAGTGCAGACTATGAGCAGCGCTACAGATTCGTGGCCTATGGGGACAACTGCTGATCAATCTAATACCTAGCTTGGAATAATGCTGCAGGACCCAAGGGCTAGAAAGGATGTGTCCGTTACAGTTTGGAGCAGCCTTAAAGAGAACAAACCATTTGTTTTACCGTGACATATGGGGCTGGGCTGGCTGTACAGTGGGAAGGAATACTTCATATAGGGGGGATTGGGAGTGGGGTTATGGGGAGGTAGTAAGAGGACTTCTGATCAATGCGGTAACTTGTTTCTGTTCAGTCATCCGTTTATAGCATTAGGTGAAGCCCAAATTTTGAACTGAGTAACTTACCGGTATACTAAAATCATTTCTTGGATTAAATTACGTTATTCGTTTCTTGCGCTGGATTACTGAATTACTGTAAAGAAAATTCCTTTTCCTTACTTCGCGCCCCTGCATAACGCGTACACGACGATTCCCGCCAACAGCACCCAACAGTAAAACATTACCCGCTCGCGACACTCGCCTCGACCACTGTTCCCGCCACGATACACATCTCGACCCAACCTCACGGTTCGTTTGGTAACCTGCACTCCGGTCCTCCGCCTCGACATTTCCCAACCTCGGCGTCAGGCCCGTCGCGCACCACATTCTCATGCATGACCGTTACTACCACGCTAGGCTTTCGCTATATATTGTTCGCTCATTCCTTCGCTCATTGTATTCTTACCTCGATACCGTCATCGCCCGGATAGTAGACAGTGTTGAATAGTAGACAGGGGTTGTCTATTATCCGGGTGTCTCTTATAAACATGCTAGCCTCATTCTAAGACACCTATTTGTGTGTACGTGTTAAGCCAGTGTAGAGGTTAGGGGCAATCGTATAGCGAGGGGGTATCTTCTAAACGGTTCTTTGTCCATTTATAAGATTTATAAGACACCCTAAACCGTCCCAAATACAAGACAACCCAAGCATTTTGGCCCATGTACGAGATAAGACGGATATGTCCACTATCCGGGCGATGACGGTAGTGCAATCCTCGTTCACTCACTCAATTACATTCGTAATACGCGGTATTAGAGACTACAATCCCTTCTCAGACCGCACCCACACCTTCGCTTCCCCATATCTCAATTTTTGGAGAGGGTAGACGTCCCTCAGCGACCAAGAACTGCTGCTCGTGTGCTCCCTCGTAAGCACACTCAACCACGACAGAGGCTCTCGCTGAGCTCGCCCGACACCCCCACCCCCCCCATGGCCGAATTCCAACTCGCGACGATGACGCAAGAGCGCCTCGACGAACTCCTGGGCCAACTCGAGGAATCGTCGCTCGAAATTGCGACGCTCACGGTGGAACGCGACTCCGCCCGACAGCAATCAACGGCACATGCACCAACACTAGCACCAGCAAATGCACCTGTGTAATCGGACGAGCCGATTGTCATATCGTCCAGAACACCGTCGCAGCACGACAGCATGGGACAGCGATCAGGAGCAGTCAGCGATGGCGCCGCCCAATCGATGCCACGCATGGAGAGAACCAGGACCGCACCAGGCACAAACGTATCCCGCGAGGCTCGTCGTCACGTCAGCATCAACGCACCTGCTGGCAACAACGACATTGGTGAGCCGATGCCACTCACGCTGCAACCCGCCCTGCTTAGATCCTAGCCAGCGTGGAGGTCCGACGGTTCAATCGTGGATTTTCACGATGAACGTACTTTTTTACGCGAATTATGTCACGTCGGATGCAGCGAAGATCCGGTACGCCGTATCATTGCTGCGGGGCCCCGCCATGGAATGGTGGCGAGTCATTGTGACGTCGCCGAGCGCCTACGAGCCATTTTCGCAAGAGGAAAGGCCCGTGGGCCCAGCCGTAATCTGGAGTTCATTCTGCGAAACCGCCCAATACAGCACGTGGGACGCGTGGTGCGCAGGGCTTCGGGCGCGCTTTGAGCCGATCGCGGCTTCAATCTCAACACGCAAGAAACTACGCACTTGGCAACAACTCGGGTCGGTCCAAGATTACACCAGCGGTTTTCTCGCGCAGTGTGAGCAGGTCGGCTACATGCACAAAGTGGAGCGAGTGGATCGCTACGCCGATGGCTTGAAGCCGGAAATCTCGCAAAGAATCCTTCTTCGCGGAATCTTGAACTTCAATGAAATCCTGGTGCTAGCGGAGAAAATAGACATTTTACGCAAACCGAGGTTGGTGTCCTACTACGGACCTGCGGCGCACTCGGGGGCCAGCCGAGCAGGCCACTGTACACGTCGTTGCGACGAACGCAGCTGCCGCACCATTTAAGGGGTGCTGCTTCGCGTGCAACAGACCGGGCCATCGCAAGAGCGAGTGCCCAGTGGAGTTAAGGCGTCGTGGAGCAAAGCAGGGGAGGGAGTCTGGGAGGCAGGGAAACGCCAACAGTCAGTAGAGTACGGGCCCACTACTGACGAGACTCACTGCTCGCCCAACCTCACCGACCCTCACCGAGTCACAGTACCGATTCACGCAATCAATCGGGCTTGGCTGAATAAGGAGGGTACAGCGGCAGATTGCCCGATACTAATTTACGGGAAAATACAGGGGCTAGATGTCGGACTTCTCCCTGCTCCAGCTTGTACTCCAGTGCCTGGCCTTGCTCCTCTGCTCTCCTTCCTCTTTCTTGCTCTCCTTTCTATGCCTTCTTACTCATCCCTTCCTCAGCAGTGCTCGGAGTTCCCTGGTACCTTAGGCCCTGTCTGCCCCAGCCTATATCTCAACTAAGATCTCACGTACTCAATGGTGCAGATCAATCTCGAGCACTAGCTCGGCTGGCTCGACTGAGCACGTCCTTCCCTCACCCTCCAGTTTGCTTAGGTTGGCTCCACGCTTCCTTGGCTAGATGGTTCGCTAACACAAATAACGGATTGAAAGTGAAAATAAACAAGCAAACTAGCTCAATCTGCCTGCATTCCTGCCTAAGTAACTTGCCTCGTTTACCATTGCTTTGAATGGCACTTTCGCCAAGTTTCACTACTTTGGCTTTCCCGCCAAGATTCCCGCTCGGTCCTATTCTTATTACTACCTGTCTCATTAATGTTCACTTTGTCTCGTTTACTATTTGGGCTATTATGTTCCCTATTTGAAACGTGATAGCTGTCGGACTTATCTCTGCTCCAGCTTGTCCTCCAGTGACTGACCTTGCTCCTCTCCTCTCCTTCCTCTCTCTTGCTCCCCTTTCTGTGCCTTCTTACTCATCCCTTCCTCAGCAGTGCTCGGAGTTCCCTGGTACCTTTGGCCCTGTCTGCCCCAGCCTGTATCTCATGCCCCGTCCTTGGTCCTTGTGCCTTTCCCGAAGACCCATGGATCTGCCCTTCTGTAGGCTGTCGGCCGACTCTCTCACTCTCTGCGGGGTTCCCCTCCTGGCCTCCGATTCGCCTTAGGCACTACCTTGGCCGTGTTCGTCCTGTGGTCTCTCCTCTCGTCTCCCTTGTCGCTTACCAGCACCACCACTCCTGATCCCTTAATCTCGCTCACCTTCCACCTCTCTGTTCCCACGCCTATGTCCATCATATCATGCTTAGCTTGTTTCAGATATACTTCCTCTCCCACACCCAGCTCCTTCCTCTTGTTCCCCTTCTCCGCTTCTGCCCTCCGCTTGTATCTAAGCGCATCTCTGAGTTGGGCCACGTGCAGGTTCTCTAGCGCGGCTCGTAGCAGTTCTCTCTGAAACCTTGCTCTGCCCTCCGCCAACCCCACCCACTCCTCCTCTTCAGTCACCCTGACTATATCGGTCAGTACCTTGGGCGCGTCAATTGGCAAGATTGGCTCTCTTCCCAACAGCAAGTAGTATGGGGATAGGTCTTTCAGAGCTGCTTGCTTGCTGAAACGGTACCCCGCCGCCACCCATGGCAACCTATTGTCCTAGTCCTTCTTGAACTTGTCACCGTGTGCCCTAAGGCCTCTCTTGACTGTCTGTACGAATCTCTTAGGCAGGTCGTCACTTTGCAGGTGGTACCTTGAGGTTCGCTTGTGGGTTACACCGCCTCAGCAGCTTGTCGAACTCCCCCAAGAATTCCGTTCCCTGATCCGTCAAGACCTCTCCACACGCCCCAAATCTCGGCAGTTCCTGCTCTTTGAATGCCTCTGCTATGCGGGCCGAGTTCTTGCTCAGTATTTCCCTTGCTTCTACCCATTTGCTCCCATGCTCGATCATGATCAGGATGTAGCGCTTCCCCTTGCGGCTTAGTGGCATTTCTCCCGCCAGATCTAGGGACCATAAAAAACCTAGCCCTCTCACGGCCAGTGACTGCAGCTCTTCTCTCCCTCTCTCTAGCTCGGCCTTGTTTCTGCTACACAGCTCGCAGTTTTGCACCCACTCCTTGATCCGTCTCCTCATTCCCGCCCACCACCAGCCTGTTTCTACTAACTGAGTGGTTCTTAGGCTTCCATAATGGCTTAACTATCGATGCACCTTGGCTATGATGTCTTGCCGCTCCTACCTTTTTGGCACAAGCTTCCACCCTGCCTTAGTGTCCTACTGTAGCTGCCGTTCGTACCAGCGGCAGTGCAGCCCTCTCGCTCTGGCTCTCTCTCAGACCAGCTCCGCTTCTCCTGTTTTTCCTTGCACCCAGCGCAGCACCTCCCGATCTTCCCAGACATCCTCTGCCCCTACTTCTCCCACTTCCAGGGTTACTCCTCCCTTAGCAAACGATTCAGTGTCAGAATGTGATGTTTGTCTAGCCTGCAGTGGGGTACTCTATAGCGAGTACAACCCGAATTAGGGTTTGCTATATGTACTCAACTGCCTGCTAGTGAAATCCCTCCTTTCCTGTTCCTGATTCTCGCCTACTATTTTGACATGCTATCAGAGCAGGTCGACCCTCCTGGGTCGATCCTGTGGGTGGTCCCGCCCGATGCTTCCGCTACTGTCCTGCCTATCGCACGCCTTGCACGTGCGATGTTTGCTGCCTGAGCGCGCGGCGTTTTTTCTTCCCGCCGCACGTTCGGGGCGCGCGACGGTTTTCTGCCCCGCCGATCCGCGCGTCGCCCCCCGTCGATGGTCGCGTCGCCCCCCGGGACCCTGT